TTGTTCATACTGGTTATGTAAAAATCGACTTAAGGCAACTGAATATCCTCAGATGTAAGGTTGACAGAATGCAGCCCAGGGAAATTCTGATTAAAGAGGCTTTTACTGGTGCCATGCAGAGCGGTATTAGAGCCTCAGGCAAAACTGAAAAATCAGCATTATGATTACTCAAAATGTTTATGTTTTGTTTATCATAGATGTTTGACATTAATTTTGACTTTAAAATTATTTCACTAAAATATTATTTATCTTAATTTCTGGTTTGCTTGTCATTTTGGTAGCTTGTTATTCTGTCCCTGAGGTCAGAACCTTACTTTCTTCACCTTAATGCCAGTCCTGATAGCTACTCAAACCAACACCCTGTTGAGTCACAGCAACATAAGGAAAACTTGCACTGGGGAGAATGATAGAAAAGGAAAGAAAAATGTAGAGTTAGTACTCAAAAAGATGATCATTAGTAGAGTGCCCTGCTATGCAGAATTCAAAGTGCGATACATAATGAAATACATTTCAATAAATCATGCTTTAAGCCTACTTGGAATGCAGCTTTCTTTCCTTCAAGAACAAGAATGAACTACAACCTTGGTCATATATGTGTCTATATCTACATTATAAAATGCATTTGTTTAATTTCTAAGTTCAGAGAGAAAAGCAAACTAAAGCAAATCACATTGGATGTAAACATTATCTTCAATTCATATCGTCATTCAGTAATCTGCTTTCCTCCTCAGAACCTAGATTACCATATCAGATCATGTCTATCCTAAGAAGCATGATGTTAGTGCCCACAATATTGCAGCTTCTGGAAAAACTTTACCTGCCCTGATCTCAAGGAACCTTGCTCTGTACCATCTGACTTTCTGTAAGTCATAAAAATAGGGAAAATTAAGAGAGAGATGGATGGATAGATGGATGAATGGATGGACAGGCAGATAGATAGATGATAGAGATAGATAGATAGATAGATAGATAGATAGATAGATAGATAGATAGATAGATAGATATAGATGTTGGGTTAAAATAACCCAGCCAGGGATGACAAGAGAGTGAATTCTAGCCAGTCTCCTCTTTCTAGTCTTGAGCTTAACAGAATTTCCATAGGCATCCATTTAGGAGTTCAAATTGTGTACCTTAAAAAACAGTGTAGCAATGGATAAAGAGAAAAAGAATTCTGTCCTCAGATAAGCTGTGCCATTGGTATGTGCCCCCCATTGGAGAATTATATTAAAGACTCAAAAAAGTCTTGAAGACTTTCCCTGAATGACGAAGCCAGCATTTCTCAAATCTACTTGACAGTGGAAGATAAACTTTTTTAGAAAACATAACCCCAACGAATGTTTCACAGACTTAGTATTCTCTGCACAATGCAATTTAGAAAATGTTGACCTATATTCATAATATAGAGGCTTCAGTTACATCTTGGTGTGAGTCTTGGGGTTGGTTATTAATAATATTAAAAATAGGAATGATAACCATAGTAACTAACATTTGAATTGAATGTTTTTGGTCTGGATTGGGACCGTTCAGAAACATACAACTTTACCACCTTCCTCTCTCCTTCCCTCGTGCTATATTCTTCCTTTGTCAAAGTATTAACACTTCAGAAAACACACACACCACAGGTTAGAAAATATTTGGCTTATACAAGAAAATGTGAACATGCATAGAAATAATGATTGATGCTTGGAGCATTTCAAACATAATAGGAACAGCCTTTTTCATGACCTAATTTGTGTCACACCACACCACTCTCTTAGTTCTGAACATTTATATCTTCATATCATGGTTGTTGTGCATCTCTTATCTTATTCGCTAAATGAATAGTTCCATGAAAGCAAGACGTTCCTATTTCAAATGCTTTGGATCATTGCTGCTATATTCCCTGCAGCTGTCTTTATACCAGATATAGGTAGGGCTGTGGAATGTATTAATGAATAAACACATTTCTGGAACTTTGTTTTCTAAAATTTTAGAGATTTTTCCATCTTTTAGATGAGACTATGCTTATTTGTGAGATAGACTATTACATTTTTCAAATGGAACCTGTGACTTAAAAGAAGGATTCAATCGCTCTAAGTTAGTTTTACATTTAGTGAAAGGAGGTGCGTAGGAAGAGATTTTCTTCCATTGCATTCCCATACCCTAAAAAGAAATCGTCTTCAACATCAAAAACCTTAAGGTATAGTATACTTTTTTTTCTTCTATTTTAGCATTTTATAGCATATCCCAACTTACAAATGACCAAGAAATGGGTACTTAGGCTGTGCCCATGGCAGAAACATTCTTTTACATATCCCAGACACAAAGCTTATTCTGTCTGATCAAGAAATATTAGGTAATACTGTGAGCACTTTGATATTTCTGTATGTCTGTTAACCACTCAGATGTGTTATTGAAATATGAGGGTCAAGTTGATAGGACCTTCTAGTTGGGAGGGCCTTCCTGAAGTTTAATTTATAAACATCACCTTTTAAATTGTGATGGTGGACACAAATTTCTTGCTCATTCAGTGAAGATGATTTTGAGACTGTCTCTACAAATTTGGTGACTACTGAGGTTTTCCTTCTTTGACTCATTGCTGTTGTCACCAGAATAATTACACACACACACATACACACACATATACTTTTACATGTCCCAGACATAAATTTTACAATCAAGATGTATATTATATGTACATATATATATATGTATGTGTGTGTGTGTGTCATCAACTCTCAATTCCATTCATTGGATGTTAGCTTACTTTGAACGTTTATCTCTTGAAGATAATTCTTAGAACAATTAAAGAGGCAATCCAATTCTGTTTTAATTTATAGATCATTAAATGTTGCTAGAAAGAAGCAAGAGAGTCATTATAAATATAAACTGCCTCATAACTATATTGACCCAACATCTAACAACACTGACCTACTTGCAGTGTATATTTAATTAAAATAACATTAGACAGAACAAAATTAACTTTAGAGAATAACTGAAGCAAATGGCTATAATAAATACAATTATCTATTACCTAGTGTCACATCATTGAAAGACTTTTATCAATATATCTTCTGGAAGATAATTGCCTATTAATATTTGGTTATAAAATATTTCCTCATGAACATTTAATGTTGTCTTACCATCAGGATAATAGGGAGTTTTTCAGTCTGAATGTTTTTAATATTATTTGCGAAGGAGACAGTTTGATGTCTAAATAATTCTTCATAATACACAAAAGAAAAAGAATCACTTGAGATTTAAATTAAAACCCTTAAATTAAAAAAAAAAAGACAGAAAAAGTTGTTTCCAAACTTTCTAATGAAAGAGAATGAAAAGTAAGCATAATCAGCATAGCTAAATGTGGGTGGGGGCTGGGTGCCATGGCTCACACCTGTAATCCTAGCACTTTGGGAGGCTGTGGCAGGGCAGGATCAAATGAGGTTGGGAGTTTGAGACCGGCCTAGCCAACACAGTGAAAATCCATCTCTACTAAAAATACAGGCCAAGCGCGGTGGCTGACACCCATAATCCCAGCACTTTGGGAGGCCGAGGTGGGCAGATCACGAGGTCAGGAGATTGAGACCATCCTGGACAACATAGTGAAACCCTGTTTTCACTATAATACAAAAACTTAGCTGGGCATGGTGGCACTAACCTGTAGTCCCAACTGATCAGGAGGCTGAGGCAGGGAAATCTCTTGAACCCGCGAGGTGGAGGTTGCAGTGAACCCAGATTGTACCACTGCACTCCAGCTTGAAGACAGACCAAGGCTCTGACTCAAAAACAAAAAATGGTTAACTAGGCATGGTGGTGGGTGCCTGTAAACTTCGCTACTCTGGAAGCTGAGGCAGGAGAATTGCTTAAACTCAGGAGGTGGAGGTTGCATTGAGCCAAGATGGTACCCCTGTGCCCCAGCTTGGGCAACAGAGTGACACTCTGTCTGCAAAAAAACAAAAACAAAACAAAAATGAAAATGTAGGTGGGTATACTTGCTTGGTATGAAACAAAGAAATTGGACAATTCAGCTCATTTCCATTCTTAAAGGCAACAATAGAGCAATTCGGTATAGCTGTAATACTATATCAGCAAGTAAATGTTAACAGAATTTAGGAGAAAAGGGTATGCCAAAAGCTTTTGATTGTGATAAAAGTTCTTGTATTTTGGGAGAAGAACATAGCAGTCTGAGGCTATTTAAATGTTATAGTTCCTTTAGTTCATAAGCATTTCTGGAATCTCTCCTTAAGAAGAATTTCACAGTAAGTAAATTATAACATCTACAATATCACTCCTCCTTGGTCTAAACATGGCAGGCTAGTGCCTTTACTGCTGCATTGTGTTTTGTTTTTAGTGCACATAGGTAGTTAAAAATAGAATGTTAAAAGGTGAGCAATTTGGCCACTTGGTTGTAACTATTATATAAGAAGACTAAATTTTACCCTGTGAGGACAGAGTGCAAAATGAGTAGAAGAAATGTACCTCTTTAAATGTTTTAAAATTTCTCATTCGGAGTTACTTTGAACCAACTGTAAATGGAAGAGATGATACATAATCATCAGCTTGTGAGGTCCTGGGAGGATTCCAGATTCTCTTCCTCAGTACACACACACAACATCCCAAGATAGGAAGAGAAGTCCATCTGGCCACATGATAGTACTATCAAAATGTTTCTTTAACTATAGAGACTAACACAGAAATTAGTACTAATAATAATTCTGCTGGATTCTAAAACTGATGTTTCCAAGATGGTCAGGAGTGGATGGAGAGTAAGAAGACTATGATCTCAAGGAAGTAACAGTAATGCACCCAAGTTAAAAGAAACAATATTGTCTTCTATAGGAGATTACATCCATTTTTCCCCTAGAACCCCATGCCTAGCATTACTAGCACAGGGTAAGTGATCAAAAAATGTTTGACAACACAAACCTGTCATCATAATAAGGAATCATGACCTTATTGATATCACTGATTGTCCTTCATGATATTTTGGTCATGTTCTACATGTGCTTTCTGTCTTCCAGAAGGAGCTTAAAACTGTGGTTGGCCTAGGGTAAAGAGAAGAAGATGAATCTAAGGACCTGAGGAAATCTTAAAGGAGGAAGTAATAGTAAAATCTTCCAGTTTTCAGACAAAAACCTTTCTCCAGAAGATAGGACTGTAGCTGTTTGCTGCAATTGAGAAATGGAGCAGTGAATAAGCTTTACTAGCTCTTTGACAATTAAAATAACGATAATTACGTAAGTACATGAGAATTCCTGATTCCAGTGCATGGTATATAGAAGTTTCTAAATATGGTGATATAAAGCACCGACATCTTTGGAGTAATTATTACTTGGGCTTTCCTTCCAATTCCAGCTCCTGAGGAATAGGAGCAAAGAATGAAGAGGGCGACTATGAACAAAACTTTGCAAAAGTTCTGGAGTGGACACCCTGCAGGATTCTCAGTTGCTTTTAATTACATTTTTATTACTTTAAATATCTTGTTCAATTTAAAACCCAGCATATAACCATTTTCCCCTTTATGTGATTCAGATGTTTATGAGTGAAAACGTTCTACATGTGTAATGCTTGATATTTATATTACTAGTGTTTATTTTATATATTTTACATAACAAATATTTTTATATAGTGATTAACTTTTTTATACCCAAAATTAAAAATAGAATTAATACAAAATATAATGCACATGTCTAAGTCACTAAGAATGGGTGTTATTTTCTTAGTTGTTAATGGAAAGCAAAACCGCATGGAAAACAGTATTAATCAGCTAGAAATACATGATTTATCATTCCTTCAGTGGGATGAGTATTTCCCTTCCATGAGTTTTCTGGGCAGGTTAGCTGTTTGACCTCGTTGATTTGTTTGGAGGCTTACTAAATTGAAAACGGCAGTCAGCACAAAATTTGTTTTTCAATAAGTTCCTGGCAATTTTGTCAGTATTGGATTCACACTCCAATGGCAAGAATGGAAACGCTTGATGATGGGCTCTTTTTCATAGTTTAACAAAGCTCAGACTCTGGTAAGTGACTTTGCTGTTATGCTGGTGTAGATTTCTCATGACCATTGAAAAATTCTGGAATAGATGCAGCTTTTGAAATATTTTATTATGATCTTTTTGTTTGTTTTAAATTTGAGTGAACCCAGCCAAGAACTTTGAATTAGCTTTTAAATTGAGCTCACTTTCTTTTCTTCATATGGCTTTTCCTGAGCCTTCCTCTACAGGCCAATGCCTTACACCTGTATTAGTTTTCCAGGGCTGTAACAGATGACCACAAATGGGTGGCTTAAAACAACAGAAATTAATTCACAAATGCTTTAGGAGGGAATAAATCTGAAATTCAGATGTTGGCAGGATTAGTCTCTTCTGGAGACTTTGAGGGAAAGTCTGTTCCATGCCTCTCTCTTGGTTTCTGCTGGGTGCCAGAAATCTTGGGCATTGCTTGGCTTGTAGCTGCATGGCTCTGATTCCTGCCACTCTAATGCCTTCTTCCCTGTGTGTGCCTCTCTGTGCCTGCTGTTCTTTCTATGGGAACATCAGTCATTAAAATTAGGATTTACCGTAGTCCAGTCTGACTTCATTTTTACTAATTATGTCAGCAAAGGAAGCCACATTCTAAGGTTCCAGGTGAACATGAATTTTGGGAGATACTATTCAACCTACTACTCTGTATACTAGATTCTTCTTCAGAGTTAAACCTCAGACTGTGTCAATTCTCTGGAGCGGATTTCTTATTACCACCGAAGGGGTCTAGAGTCTATAAAATGTGACTCTCTATTGAGACAGAGGCCTGGTCTCTGTACTTCAGTAACGTCTGTGTGCAAATTTATCTTATCAGTTACCATTCCAGAGCAAAATAATTTCCATGCCTTTTTTTTCTCCTTTAGGATGCAGGATTTTTGAGGAGTGGTAATGTAGTGGCACTACTGAAATCTCGTATTTCAGCACCTATCCAGAATATACAGGCAGAATGTTGACATTGTTTACTGAATTGCTCATTTATTTATCTTTGCATTTATTTAATATCTTTGAATTATTCATTTAAATATTTATTGAATGCCTACTATGTCATGCCGTAACAAATATAGCAATGGGAGAAGATAATAATCTATTTTTAATCACATACCTGTTCTGGATCACATGCCTACTTAAATATTAGTTCAACAATTTCCTGGGAAGTATGCATATGTACACATAGTTTACCATACAGTTCGACAGAGTTCGTAGAACACAGAGGTCTGTGAATTCTTGGTTAAAAATTCCTGGCATTTGTCCTATGTATACTACTTATCTTGCTTTAATGTTCTCGTTCTCAGAATATTTGCAAGGCTCGTCATAATACATTATACTTGTCTTATCAGTTGGAATTCCTTTGGCATAACAAAAATCTCAACTAGCATCTCATTAGACCAGAATCGTTTAATTTTTCTCACTTAAATCTTTCGAAGATCAGAAAATGATACCCTGAAATGAAGGCCTCAGAAGCAAAAGTTTTCTCTGACCTTCACCTGCCCTCCTATATTTGGTCCCTTGTCTCCCTGAGGCTAGCCATAGAAACTAGAATCTCTCTTCCCCAAAGTGGGTAATAGAAACCAGAACACCTTTTCCCCAAAGCCAGCCATAAAACCTAAGAACTTTACTCATATCTTTCCCTCTGCCTCTCTGTGTAAAAACTGGTCCTAAAGAAATTATCTGACCTACATTTTTTGATTACAGGTTTTAAGACCCCCATTCCAGACAGGGTCCTGCCCCATACCTGAAAGGAGAAACTGCTGCGTAGACAAGCAAAGAAGAATCTAAACAGTCAGGTCTTTTGGGGCTTCTCTGTTCCATCTATTAGCATTAGATCTTACCTTTACTGTCCAATCATATTTCTATATGGCTCTTTATACTTTGTTGAACCCAAGCATAAAAATGGAGTTTCCCTTGTATCTTTGAGGTCTTCCTTCTGAAGGCTTCTGGTCAAATACATCTGTATATGTTTTCTCTTACTAAGCTGTCTTTTATTGGTGATTTTCAGTGATCTTCAGAGGGCAAAAGGGGAACTTTTTTCTTGAACCTACAAAACCAATTCTAGAGATTGACAGTTGCTGAAATTCATTCAGTTCTTCAATGACTTTTTCCAAACCCAACCCCTTTCAAGTAGCTACTCTCCTTTCCTTAGGAAAGGTGTTAATTTTGACGCCATGTTTTCATCCAAACAGTGAAAGCAGTAGTTGGCTGAGAAAGTAAACTTACCTTCTTTTACCTCCTATTAGAGGGTAAAATTCTTTCTATCAACACCCTAGAAGAATTCCTGTTCTGTGGAATCAGTCAGAAGAGAGTAACATAGAAACCTCTGGGTGCTAGCAATACTGGAGGATTAATATCGACCCATGACCAGATTTGATCTCTAGTTAGATCTATATGCAGAATTCTGTATTTCTTTAAAAAATATAAATTAGAGTTTCTTGTTTTCTCATCCTGAGGGTGCAGCAAAGTTTTCTCTTGTCTCCACTTCTAAAAGCTGATTAGCAATAAAGATAGGATTAGAAATTCAGCTAGCAACTTCTTGTCTAGAGCTGATCTTACCTTATAATACTGACAAAGCTGTTCCGTGATGAGAAGGAACTGGCAAGATTAGTATTTTTAGAATGAAATTTGGAAAATAATTATTAATTTTCTAAATTTCCTTCAAGAAAAACATTCAGATGTATAGCAGCAGATGTTTTTCTTCTGATCGGCATTCATTACTCTCTCTTCAGGTAACCTCATTCTAATTTTGCATTGTGGAATCACTATACTCTCATCTTCATGAAATCAAGAATTCTGAGCCTACCCTGTTATTCCAGGAATTGACAAGTGAGCAACATCTGGCCAATTATCATAATCTACCTCTGACCCATCAGTGCACACACAAGAGGAAAATAAGACACAAATTTGTAACTCTGGCTGACACTATCAGGAGTTAGACGCAATCTGATGTGGTTTGGATATTTATCCCCACCCAGATCCATGTTAAAATGTAATTCTCAGTGTTGGAGGTGATGCTTCGTGGGAGGTATTTTGATCATAGAGGCAGATCCTTCATAGCTTGGGGCTGTCCTCATGACAGAGAGTTCTTAAGAGCTGGTTGTGTTAAGGTGTGGCACCTCCCTTCCCTCTCCTCCTCCTGCTTTTACCATGTGAAGTGTCTGCTCCTGCTTTACCTTCTGTCTGCCATGAGCAAAAGCTCCCTGAGGCCTCCCCAGAAGCCCAGCACCATGCTTCCTGCACAGCCTGCAGAACCATGAGCCAATTAATTCTCCTTTCTTTATAAATGACCCAGTCTCAGATATTTTTTATAGCAATGCAAGAATGACCTCATATGCAATATTTATGCTAATATTGCTAAATTGGTGGAGTAGATAAGGCTGAATGACAACTTGGCAATAACTCAAGGGAATGAGAAAGAGAAGAAAGAGGGACTTCTTTATTTACTGAACATTTTCATAGTACAGGAAGTATTTGAAGTGTTTTACATAAAGTATCTTATTCAGTCTTCCTACATTCCTATAAAGTAACACGATTGCCTCTACTTTCAGATGAGATTTAAGAGATGAAGTGACTCATCCAAAATTACACATTACCAAGAAAGAATTTGAACTCATATCTCAGGATATGGAGATGGTTTATATTTACCATCTCACTCCATTCTGAGTATTGATATCTTAAGGGTATATATATTAATTTATGCACATGGTAAAGTTACTAATATATATCGAGATAAAAGTAAGTATAGTGTAGTGTTTCTTTGTCATATTATATTAACTACATTGGCTCTAATTAGGGGGTTTCATCTCTGATCAGAGAATGTTTCCAATGACCAAATTGGTGACTGTGAAATAACTCTCTTCTATGGTTTGCTGGACTGAATGAACGTTGACAGTTGTCCTCTATGTAAGAATAATTCAGTAGCATAGCTACTGACAACCACGCTTAGGTTAATAAAACCATCATGCACCCACTTGCTCAGGATAAAGTCTAGGGTCCTTTAACCTCCTTCTTCCTTTTTATTATTGCTCTTATCCATTAGCAAATCAAGTCTATTTTACATCCAACATAGATGTTGGATTGACTATTTCGCAGAATTTCCTCTACTGGCCCTAGTCATATCACTATTTTAGTGAAAATGTCGCAACAACCTGCCTCTTGTTGTTCCTATTTCTGCTGCTCTGTTGCATCCTTTAGTTCATTCTTCACAAAGTCACTTGACTGATC